GGGGAGAGGCGAGGGGGAAGAAGGGAAGAGCATGATATAACTGTAGTAATGAGAAAACATAGGTGGTCCCGAATGTTTGGTTTTTTGAAGCATGACAGTTTAACCATTGAATTCCTAAACCTGTATTAAGGCATGACAGTTCAACTATGCTGATGTGAAAGAAATATGAGGTGCTAAACCATTTTTTGAAGCATGACAGATTAACCAATGAAATACCGAGCATTTTTAACTTCATTTTAGTGGCAATCATCCCCATGTCTCGTCACATATACACATTACACTGTCATTAGACTAACAACTAGTCTCTGAAATGAACATATTTTACTGAAAAAAGTTCATAGTAAAAAATAATAATAATATAATGAAAAGGAGACCTGAGACTTTCTTCATTTAAAAAGCTGAGGAAATCTAGACTTGCCACATTTTCTAGACTTGTGTGGGCTTTCTTGGATATATTTGCTTCAGGGTCTGTACGACAGACTACACTGTCATGTAAACCTGGACCTTAATCAATGACACCCGATCATCACAACATTAGCTTCATCTATCATGAATTCATGAACACAAAGATCCTGAATACACTGATCAGCATGAGGTAGAGAAGATGGGGCCACAGATCAATTCTGAAAAGCCCTATTGAGGACAAGTATCAATATTTAAACACACTCCGTGCTGTCTATTGATACCTAGGTTCATCTGCACATACCGCCCACCTGCCTGTCGCTCACATTCAAGCCCATCAATTAAGTTCCAGTTTTTCCTGCGATGTAATAACAAGATGAGTTTTCATTAACAGACCATGTGTTAATTTGATGAAAGTGCTTACTTTCACGGATATGTGTTTTGTGTCGCGCGACTGAGGTCTTAATAGATTCACTCGAGTATAAGCAACATGTGTGGTAAATTAATTAAGTAGCTCAACCATTACCTTTAACCATCACACAGGTAGTAAAACAAGTCGTTTAAAAATAGTCTTCAGCAAATGTCAGTGTGTATACCAAGGCTGGCAAATTAACCATACTTAATTTGTCAAAACACTTTGATCTTACCAAATAAATATATGTCCATATTTAGCAAATTATTAAAGTTATCTTACACCCCGTTTTAGTGAGTGAGTTTGGTTTTCAGACGGTTTTTGAGCAATATTCCAGCAATATCACAGGGTGGACAACAGAAATGGGCATCACACATTGTACCCATGTGGGGAATCAAACTCGGGTCTTTGGCGTGATGAGTGAACTCTTTCACCACTACCCCACCGCCTCTAGTGGTGTTCCGATTAATTGAAATAATCGAAGATTGGTCGTAGTGACTAAACGACCAAGCAATCGATCATAATTTCTCATAATCGAACACAAACAATTCTGGAACACTTGTTTTCATTTACAATATTTTTCACATGGTTGGTTTTGTCCGATTTTATTTTGTAAGCACTACAAGCTCGTTTCAAGTCATGATTGAATTTATCTTAACGATTCCAGGAAATTTATGTTCCTAACATACTTGTCATCCTTTAAAGATGTGAAAATTAGCCACAAAAACCCCTAAAAGAACTACATGTTGTTTCCTTATTTTTATGTGCAAATTTCATAAATGACGCTAACCAATTATTTTTGATGATTGATTGGTAGTAATGAACCAATTATCAATTATGAGATTTTAACCAATTCCCAACACTAACCGCCTCACACTAAGTTTTAGATTCACTTGTGCACAGCAATGTGAGGATAGTGACTGTAACTCCAGCATGTTAACAGAGTCTTTAGATAACAGAAGCACTAAAATAGCTTTGTCAAGTAGGCCCGGATCAATGTATGGTTTTGCCATTAAGTGTTGCGTTGATTTGAGCCCATAATGGCATTACCTGGATCAAACAGACAAATGGCTGTGTCAGGGGTGGTGGGTGGACTGAAGTGTATTTAGGGAGCTATAAGTGTAGGAACGGTGTGAACAATGCGTGTGTCTGCATAGCCGATGCAAACAATGGTTCTTGTGAAGTGTAACATTCAGTTCCAGAAATATAATGATCTTGTTTGATAATGTACCTAGAAAATATAAAACATGATCCAAATGGATCCTGCTTAGGTTCAATTAAATCCTGAACAAATACAACTCCATTTAGTTGCTTCAAAAGAATTAAATTAGGGGATAAATTTTTTTTTAACTTCCATAACTGAAAGCAGCATGGCAGAATTAACACAACATTTGATGCAGGATATTGGTGAGATTGAATTCAGGATTAGAAACTTGGGTCTAATAATATTGCTTCTAGTTTTGATATATTCTCCAGAGAAGCAGGATCTGATATTGACATACAAACCATCAGTTATTGTGTCACCATCAGTTATTGTGACATCATCAGTTATTGTGACATCATCAGTTATTGTGACAGTTATTGTGTCACCATCAGTTATTGTGACATCAGTTATTGTGACATCATCAGTTATTGTGACAGTTATTGTGTCACCATCAGTTATTGTGACATCATCAGTTATTGTGACAGTTATTGTGTCACCATCAGTTATTGTGACATCAGTTATTGTGACAGTTATTGTGTCACCATCAGTTATTGTGACATCACATATTGGGTCACCATTAGCTATTGTGACACCATCAGTTATTGTGTCACCATCAGTTATTGTGTCATCAGATATTGGGTCACCATTAGTTATTGTGACACCATCAGTTATTGTGACATCATCAGTTATTGTGACATCATCAGTTATTGTGACATCAGTTATTGTGACAGTTATTGTGACACCATTAGTTATTGTGACATCATCAGTTATTGTGACATCAGATATTGGGTCACCATTAGTTATTGTGACACCATCAGTTATTGTGTCACCATCAGTTATTGTGACACCATCAGTTATTGTGTTATCATCAGTTATTGTGTCGCTATCAGTTATTGTGACATCAGTTATTGTGTCGCTATCAGTTATTGTGACATCAGTTATTGTGTCACCATCAGTTATGGTGTCGCTATCAGTTATTGTGACATCAGTTATTGTGTCGCTATCAGTTATTGTGAGATCAGTTATTGTGTCACCATCAGTTATTGTGTCACTATCAGTTATTGTGTCACCATCAGTTATTGTGACATCATCAGTCATTGTATCCACCCGACCCCTATACTCTTCAGTTGATAAAGCAAACACACCCAACACAGTCTAGAAATTCCCCATGGTGTTGAAAGAGTAGATAAAAGAACCCTTCTATGATGATTCAGCATAGATGTGCCAGATTATATTCATGAAGTTGATAATCTGTTGTTGATACGGAACCATTTCTCCATCACTGCGTACACAGAAGTACCACACTCGCATCTTTAACCCAACTTATTCATTGCCTTCCTTGAGAACTTACTTCACTTCACATAAATCTAAGCAAGGACAATCTCCATTATAATGGCCCTATCACAACTGACCCATAAGCGGAATGGCAAAGTCAGCTGATTGGCAGTCTGCCACATGGTGGAATGTTGCGATATGATCCTCAATGGAGTAGTGTTGGCTCTCCTGGATCTGCACTGCAAGTTAGTATGCAGAAAGTGTAAAGATACAACCTTACGTCTGCTGCTGCACAGCCTAATGCTTCAACTTACCTTACAACACCATCTCAAATTGCAGCACATCAAATCCAAAACAAAACATTTTTCATTTGGTCACTTCGGAAGAGGGTATGACAAATGCTGGGACATTAGGGGCTAATATTATTGAAACAGAACTTTAGCATGATATTCTAGCTTTGTGAAGATAGAAATTTAGATAGATTGCAATTTTGGTCAAACAGAACTTTTGATACATAGGATTTTGGGTCTAATAATATCCTTTCCTCCTCTAATAGTGACCAAACAAAACAGATCCAAGTTAGGATCCTTTCCTCCTCTAATAGTGACCATACAAAACAGATCCAAGTTAGGATCCTTTCCTCCTCTAATAGTGACCATACAAAACAGATCCAAGTTAGGATCCTTTCCTCCTCTAATAGTGACCATACAAAACAGATCCAAGTTAGGATCCTTTCCGACAATATAGACCTTCTTAAGTGGTTTCATAACATTTGATGAATATCAGAGTTCAACAAATATTTTTTCAGGAAGCCTATTGTCCTAAAGCATGTTCACCTTCTGTTTACAGTAAACAACAGGACACACAGGTGCTTAATAATTTCCAGTGATTGTAAACTATTGTTATGATGTCACCAACACTACCTTGTGTTTCAGCTTATTTGTTGAGCTCCGAGTAGTTCATCACCTACACAATTGGGATACGATGACATGTGTCAACCAAGTCAAAAAGCCTGTTAGTCGCCTCTTACAGCAAACATGGGTTGCTGAAGACCAATTCTAACCCAGATCTTTATGGTTCAATTAACTGGGAAAGAGTTAGGGTCATATGTGTCATTGAATAGAAATTAATGTACTATTATATCAACACAAATTACTCATGAGTGCCATTAAAAAGCATCACAAGAAAAAGAAATTCAGTACATGTCAGTAACAATTACCTAATTATCAATAAACCCGCATTTGAAAATTCAATGTCAAATGGGAACCTTGTCTTTCATTTAAGGTTAAAACTGAAATTACTGCCTTCCAATTGTCAATGTTGACAATAGCAATTATTAATATATGTAGCAGTGAATCATTGATAAAGTACTAATGTTCATAAATTTACATTGATAAATATTTATTGACATCAGGGATGTATGCTACATATACATATACATGTATGCTACATGTTTTAGCGTAATGTACTACCTGGGACACATTTCCTGCATTAGAGGTACAATGTACTCAATAATCTTGTCGACAAATGACAATTTACAGGGGCATTCATGTATCGGTTTGTAAAAATATCCAGACAATTCTGACCGTACTATCGTATATACAACACCACCATAAGAATGTTGCCATTAGTCTGTGCCCGTGATTCAGGGATACTGTAGCCCTTCCAGGAGCTGTTTATAAGTGGGGTTAAGGAGGAAACACTTACGATTCTTGCAATAAACAGAGTCTTGTAAGCTTCACCGGGTGCAGTGGAGGCTGGGTCCCCTGAAACAGATACAACACTTACTATAGTGGAAGGTGCATGTGGTTGTGACAAGCCTTAGAATAAGGCTTTAGACAGTTTTCCAGTAATATCATGGCATGTGAATAATATTCTGATTATATCATAGCATGTGAACAATATATACGGTTATATCAGGGCATGTGAAAAATATTCCCATTATATCAGGGCATGTGAAAAATATTCCCATTATATCAGGGCATGTGAATAATATTCCCATTATATCAGGGCATGTGAATAATATTCCCATTATATCAGGGCATGTGAATAATATTCCCATTATATCAGGGCATGTGAATAATATTCCCATTATATCAGGGCATGTGAATAATATTCTGGCTATATCAGGGCATAGGAATTATATTCCAGTTATATCACGGCATGTGAGCAATATTCATGTGCAAGTATTCTGGCTATATCACCACATATCAGCTTGTTCTACCTGGAAATCATGAAATGATGCTGGTCTTTGACATTCAGATGTTAAAAGCCCATGTTGTTTGTGCCTCTGGACAGAGGTTTGAACTCATGGTCACAGTTTTCTGGCACATCTAAGGGACACAACTCTGCTGAGCCTTACAAAACTGTCACTATGTTAATGGTGAGATACTGTCCTTAATGTCATATGAGGAATGTAATCAAATACCCTACAGGAACTAAATATTTATGGCGTTCATGATGTACATGAGTAGTTATCAATACAATATTCATACAGGCTTTATATATCAGAAGAGCTTTCCAAATATCATTCATATGTTGATAATGCATTTGTGATCAATACATATCTTTCCATGACCGTCTGTTACTCTTGAATTTGATCGCAAGGCTCAAACATTTTCTTAAACCTAAACTGTGATGCAATCAAGTCATTCCCCGATATAATTCAGATCAAACAATTCAACACTTATAATAATAAACATGTTAAATTCAATGCTAAAGAAGAATAACAAACGACATGAGCTTAAATTAATTAAAAACAACAGCCTCAGTAAGTTATCTTTCAAGATTCAAAACAAAGCCTATAAACAAGAGCGACGAAAGTATTATTTTTCTGAAACACTTCCCAACATGATCTTGATGGTTATATGGGAGAGAGAGAGTAGGAAAAGGGTGAAAAGGAGGAACAAGAGATGTGCTCGTATGTGTGCGCGTGCGCGTGTGCGAGCGAGTGAAAATAAGTGTGCAGAATACACTGTTCATAACCAAATTGCATAATATATATTTCATACAGTTGTAGTACCAAGATCAAACATAAATACAGGAGCACAAGTCTCAGCATACAAATTAAGAAATCAGATACATTAAATTAATTACACTCAAACAAAGAAATTTGGTTATGAAATAATTTGTTTGAAATCAGATCCCAATGTAATTAATCTTGCTCATACATACAAAACCACTCTTTCTTTTCTTTCAAAAATGATAAGCTAGTTTAAGGGTTGGGACAATCATCAACCATCATGCTAATGTATGCATGGACGACTTAAGCTGAAGCCCTAATGGTGACAGGCACCAAGGATACATGTGTCTCTCCAGCACACTATGGTGGAGACAATTGTTTCTTCTCCACCATCTATCGCGTGCCAGAGACTTTCTCTTCCTGGGTTTTACTGCACACAAGTTCATAACGAGCAAGTATGTGAAAACCCCAGGGACATGCAATATCAAAGTTTATCATATAGATAGAGTAGCTGGTCTCCGGGGCAACCGGGAATAAACCCAACAGCCACACACTGGTGAATACACATTCATAATGTACAGTAGCGTAACTTCAGGTTCGGCTGTTATTATCAAGAATCATTACCGACCATAATGGAATCTTATATCAACATTTGGAGAAATGCTTTGATATTATTATGTATTTGCAAATGAGTTTGTCCTGTGTTGAAATAAGGAATTGGGAACACTTAAATGAAAAGGATCCAAGACCATTCAACAGATGTCAGGGATCATGAGATTCTGCCATGGCAATACAGATTTACAAAAATATTTAAAAAAGATTGCATGTTTTTAACTTCTGTGGAGTATCACAACGAGTAATTCTTACACAAAGGCAAAGCTGCTCTCATACAAGATGAAAAACAGAATGAATGTGAAATAGGTCATATTTTGATTTCATTAATAATCAAATTAAATTATTTGTAAGGAAGGCAGGCATGTGATAAGGCATTGTGTATCTCAATGTGTAAAATTCAAGAGGAAGTGTCCATTTCATCAGAAGTCAACAAAGGATGCCTATTTTAAGCTGGTGTATTGTTTATTTATGTTCCCCGAGAAGCTGAGAGCCAATTAATAAGACATATGATGTTCTGTCCGCATCGCCATGTCATGGAAACCTTGCTACAAGATTAACATGCAAAAGGTCTCTGGAGAAATGTCCCAGCTCACTAGACCAGTACAAGACAATATCAGTCAAAATCAATTATTAATAACTACTGGAAAATCAAACAGGCAGGATAGATTTTTTGTCAAGAGACAAATTAGCTTCTGCAACTATAGTAAAATCAAACATCTTGTAAGATGCAACCAATTGTAGCATAACCGGCTTGGAGGAGTTGTGTCCCTTTAAGTGTTTCTCAGAAAGTGGTAAAAGGTAGCTCTGAAGCTGAACTATATCCAGTGTTTTATACAGATATTGATATTTAGTTGTCCTTGTGATAGCCCTGATGTTAAAAGTTCAGTTGTGGCTTGATTCCAAGACAGTGATTTTTACCCTTTAAGCATCACTGAGATCATAAGCATGGTTCCCTCCCTGCACTCAAAGTACAATGTGATGCTATCAATTTCCCAGGGCAGTTATCTAGATCTGCTAAAAGGAAGATAATCTGCCCAAAGTCGGCGCAATAAATGTCAAATTTATTTTCCCAATTTCTCATATTTTATAGAAATAAGAATTCTGAAAAATCCACTTTTGAACAAAATTTAAAACATTTCCATAATGTCATGCCAAATGCACTAGGTTATGAATCCAAAATAAATTCCTGTGATATTTTGCCAGTCACAAAAAATATTACTCCATGAGCTGACATAAGATGTAATGACTATTAATTCAAAACATTCCGAAAACTGAAAATCAGTGGTTACTAGTTCCAAAATGCTTCACATAGTTCATATTAAAGTTGGGCCACAGCACTCTTTAACACTAGCCACCTCAAACACAACACCATTAGCTCAAAGTATGTTCTGTTTTCCTTGCCTGTGAAGTAAACATTTTCGCGATTTTGTTGTTAATGATGCCTGTTTTCTCAGTTGGGACTCTTGATGTTGAACCTCCTGCATAGCAAGGGCTGCACCTTTTCCATGTCCTATTTATGTGCTTCTAATCATTTCACCCAAAGCAAACCAACTTGGATGGACATTCATTGAAGTCTGACGGTCTTGACAAAACATTCAAATATTTACAAAAGGAATAACTGTTGAACCTTTCAAAATTTGAATGACACGCAAGCTTCACTAACATAGGATGTCAATGCTAATGGAGATCTGCCATTTTCATTTCATCGCCTTGTTTATAAAAATGTTTGAAACTAGTGGAAAGAGCGAGATCCATTTTATTCAACATGTGAAATCTTGGAAGCCTGACAATATCAAGCTGTGCTCAAAATTACCTCCTCTTTCCATTTAGAAAATGTCACTATCTTTGATGTTTGACAAAAAGCATAACAAAATCGCTTCGGCAGATAACTGAAATAGCTGAAACAAGTATTTCACCCAAATTGTCAAAATATTTTTATCTTGCAACACATAAAAAAACATACCCAAAACTCATCACAGAGTTGTCTCCCTTTGACTGATTGGCCAAGTCCACAATTGCTTTTTTGTAAGAGTTAGGTCTCAAAAGATATCTACAGATTTCTTTAGACAATAATTCTTTACAAAAGACTGGAAATGTTCTTCCATCAAATTAAAACCACTCGTGACAAATGACATCTTTACTCATGACAAATGATCAAAGAACAAGTCTTCTAATAATCAAAAATTTACCACAGGACAAAGGGAGTAAAAAATGTTTGTTACACAAGCAACAGATAAACTTTATGCCAAAGTGATCTAAATGTATTAACAACTTATATGTAATACTGGCAATAGAAGTACCAACACATGACTATCAATTACCATGTCCTTCAGTTCAATGACTGTCTTGGTCCAAATATCTTAAGAATCACCAAGAGTTGTCTCCCTTCTACCATTCCACTATATCTACAAGGACCAACTTACTAACATCAAATACAGAAATATATATATAATATGCATATGCCATTCTTAGGATATCAAATTGTTTCAAACAGACATCAACTCATAAAGATATTTCAACCCTAACATTACATCATGCTTGTCCACTCTGTCAGCACTGAATAAATGAGACTCTAGGAGAAAGGAATATGTCACACATCAAAAGTGACCATCATTGGTGAGGTAAAGTGATAAGAAAAGTAAGTCATCTTCCCCATTATCCATATTTTTCTATATAAGATAATTCTGAGTACATATAGTCTTGTTCATTTTTGCTCACATAAAACAATGGAACACATATGAATCTGTACAGTCAATTCAAAAACATTTCTGACCATGGCTGCTCCTTTGATACACAGCAGTTGTCGAAAATATGCAATGGAGTAACATTACGGTCGTATCACCCCTACTCATGCCACACCTATCAACCCCCCCATATAAATACATAAACATCCAAACGAAAACAAAAGCAAGACATAAGTTTTCATATTTCAAAATTTACACAAAAACACTTCCACCTATTATAATTTACATAAACAGTCAACATTAAAGCAAGTACTGCCAGTGTATTTTTCCTTTCGACATATTTCTCTCCTTATTACGATGCTATTTCCCCAAGTCCATCAGCCCTTTCAACTCAATTGTCGTCTTAACTTAAATTAGCCAGACCATTCCACATGTCGCTTGCTATTAGACCTGTTTCTATTAGACCACAACTGATGGAAGCAATGCCATTACTACAGCACTTACT